CGGGCCATGGCATACGTGCCCCCCTCAAATAAATGTACTTAAAAGAATTTTTTTTTTTAAAGATTTATTTATTATGTATACAGCATGTTTGCCTGCAGGTCAGAAGAGGGCGCCAGATCTCATTACAGATGGTTGTGAGCCACCGTGTGGTTGCTGGGAATTGAACTCAAGATCTCTGGAAGAGCAGTCAGTGCTCTTAACCGCTGAGCCATCTCTCCAGCCCCTTAAAAGAATTTTTAATAGGCAGATGAAGTCGCCCTGGTTTTCAGATCATGAAATGTAGGTTTAAGAGGCCATCAGACCAGTACCCAGTTTCAAGCCCAGCCCAGCCTGTCTGACCCCAAAACCCAGTTTCTCCCCCACCTACTTCTCATCTCAGACTTGACGGAACCACCAGGGCCCCACCCTTGTGGTGGGGCAGGTTGATCATAAAACCGGTCTGTGGAAGATGGATAGAACCAGCTGTGGATGCACACTGCTCATCCCAGCACTGGAGAAACTGAGGCAGAAAGGTCCCCACACTAGACACCTGCTTATGTTACATCGTGAAGTTCAGGCTAGCCTGGGCTATGTAAGGAGACATTGTCTCCAAAAAATAAAAAAATAAAATAAAATAGAAAACAGAGAAATGGCTGGGAAGTGGTGGCACTCGCCTTTAATCCCAGCACTCAGGAAGCAGAGGCAGGTGGATCTCTGAGTTCGAGGACAGCCTGGTCTACAGAGTGAGATCCAGGGCAGCCAGGGCTACACAGAGAAACCATGTTTCAAAAAGCAAACAAACAATAACATAGAAGAATGGTAAAAGATCAGTATGTGAAATGCTTGTCGAGCAAGCTCAGAAGCCATCTTAGAAAAGCCAGTTGCGGGGCTGGAGAGATGGCTCAGTGGTTAAGAGCACCGACTGCTCTCCCAGAGGTCCTGAGTTCAATTCCCAGCAACCACATGGTGGCTCACAACCATCTGTAATGAGATCTGGCACCCTCTTCTGTATACATAATAAATAAATAAATCTTAAAAAAAAAAAAAAAGAAAGAAAAGCCAGTTGCCTGGTGCACCCCATCATCCCATCACTCCTACAGCAAGGTGGAAAGTACAGACAGCCAGAATGTGAAACCCTGCCTCAAAAATCAAGGTGCAAAAGCCTAGCATGCCGGTACATTCCTTTAATCCCAGCACTCAGGAAACAGAGGCCAACTAGTCTCTGTGAGTTCGAGTCCACCCTGTTCTACGTAACGAATTCCAGGCCATACAGGGCTACCTAGTCAGATACTGTCTCCAAAACAAACAATAAACCAAATTCCAAGACCTACAAAAAAATAAAATAAAATGAAATAAACAAAAATCGTAGATGGTGGATGAAGAGAACAGACTCATGGAAGCGGTCCTCTGATCTCCACACCAAGGCTATCACGTGTATAAATCACACACGTACACAACAACAATTACACGTTTGCTTTGGCTCTGACATCTCCTTGTGTGTGTTTGTGTGTGCACACGTGGGTGTGTATGCCATGGTACACACGTGAAGGTCAGGGGACAACCGGTGGGAATCATTTCTCTCCTGAAAAAAAGAAAGCCGGGGGTGCTGGTTCACACCTGTGATCCCCGTGCTTGGGAAGGAACAGCAGGAGCCTTAAGGACAGTCTCTGATATACTCCAGTATGAGCCAGCCTGGGCTAGATGAGACCTGGTTTCAAAATTAAAAAAAAAAAAAAAAAAAGGGTTTGGATTCCAAATGAGTGAGCACAGCAACTGGGAGGCCCGCCCCTCCTTTGCACAACCCGTCCGTCTTGGCCACGGCATCCAGCATGACTACGTCTTGCCCTGGTTTAAAGCAAGATGAAGGAAGCGTGTGTCTACAAAGAGTTGGCAGCCCCCACCTCCCAAGCCAGGCTAGGCCAGGCAGGGTGACATTTAAAAGCATCCATGACCACACTTGACAGCACCCTCTAGGGTGGGGCCCCTTGAACTCCAGTCTGGGCTAAGGTGGGCAAGCAAGGGCTGGGGAGCCTCCTCAAAGCCTTCTGACCTCACCAGAGATTTATGGAGCTGGGCATGGGTGGGGCTGGGAACAAAGGTCTTAGAGAGCTGGGATGGTCAGGAGTTTCTGGTCGCAATGTGACCCAGCAAGGGAGAGAGCAGAGGCCCTGAGAGCTTCCTGTGGTTCCTAAGAGACCTCTGGCACCTCAAAGGCCTTTCTGAGGTGATTTCAGATTAGTGATCCAGCTCCACCCCAAGAGGTGTATAGGAAACTCAGCTTTCTCTCCCAAGGAAACGTGGGGGTCTGGCTCAGCAGGTAGAGGCACTTGCTATCAAGGATGCTAATCGAGTGTGATCCCCAGGGTGGAGAGAACCTGCCCCCACTGGCTGTTCCCTGGGCCCTAACACACACTCGCGTGCACACATACACAAATAAATGCAATACAACAGAAAGGAAACCGAAGTCAGACCTGGTGGGACGGGCCTCGGATCCACACTTCCAGGAGCCTGAGGGAGGAGGGTAACAAGTTCAAGGCCAGTGTGTACTAGACAGTGAGTTTAAAGCTAGCCTGAGCGATCTAGCGGGACCCTGACTCAAAAAATAAAATAGAACTCGGTGAGATGACTCAGCGCTTAAAATCTCTTGCTTCAGGGGCCGGAGAGATGGCTCCGTAGTTAAGAGCACTCACTGCTCTAGAAGAGGACCAAAGTTTAGTTTCCACACAAATGGCGGCTCACAACCCTCTGAAATCCAGTTCTAAGGGACCTGGAGGCTTCTTCTGGCCTCCTCAGCATCAGGGACATGTATGGCACACTTACACATACACACACATATATACGTGCAGGCAAAACATTCATACACATAAATAAAAATAAGTCTTTTTTTTTTAGAGGAAGTGGAGTTTGAGACAGGGTTTCTCTAATCGTTTTGTAGATCAGGCTGGCCTCAGAGATCCAGCTGCTGCCTCTGACTCCCAAATGCTGGGATTAAAGGCATAAAAAAATAAATGTCTTAAAAAAAACCAAACAAACAAACAGGAAAAACAACCATGCTACATTGTCTGATAACCCGCGTTCTATTTCCCAGAACCCATAAAAAGGGTGAGAGAACCCACTCCACAACGTTATCATTTGGCCTCTACATACATGCCATGGCACACACACTTCCCCTATCCCCATCACACGTGATGGGAATAATAAAATCAAATAATAATAAATTAAATAACTTCATAAAAAGGTAAAATGACCAATGATGATATAGCTCAGTAGTATAATGCCTGCCTAGAATCCCCCAGTGAGGGGCTGGGAGTGTGGCTCAGTGGTAGAGCACCTGCCTAAAATATCGAGGACTAAGGGGGTCCAGCCCCTCGATAGTCCCCTCCCAGGGTCTGGGAAGAATCTACAACCAGCTGATAATCTTTGATGAAAAGAAATGAATCTATGTACACGAAACTCCTTAGTTCATACACTTTATTATTCTGTATCAGTTCTCTCTCTACAAGCTTCTTTTCTGTTCTCATGTCTAACTCCTTCCTTGCCTGATTTATCTACTGTCCCCTCTAGGTTCTATCTTAATTCCTTCATCTAGTTCTGCCCCATCTAGGTTCTCATCCATCTAGTTCTTTCCCATATCAGCTCCTCTACCATCTCCTTCTCTCTCATCTGGCTCTTCCTCGTCTTGTTCTTCCCCATCTGGCTCATCCTCATCTTCCATCTCATTCCTCTAGTACTCTCTTCTAGTCCTTCAATCTAGTTCTTCCCCTTCTCAGTTTGTTCCTCTCAAGTTCTTACCCATCTAGTTCTTCCATTCTTTTTTCTCTTCTCCGTGCTGTTTTGTCCCTGTCTACAGAAAATACCTGCCTTTTCTTTCCTTGGGCACGTGGTTCCCTACCTCTTCAGGAATGTTGTTTTATCTCTCACCTTGATATGTAAACCTCTTTTGTTCCCAGTCAAAGGGCTCTGGAGAACCACTAGGCCTCCTCAGGGCCAGGGGATGGCCTGAGCTTCATTAGCACAGGAAACAAAGCTACCGTCTCCATCAGCTTGTCAGCAGGGCAGTTAGTAACTTAGGTTCAGCAGGTCAGGGGAGCTGAACTGTTTACCAATAGGTCTGGGCACACAAGGATTTCATAGCAGAAGACAGCTGGAATATTAAAGGCTGGGTAACACCAAATATTCATAATAAATGGCTTTGCCTTTTGACAGACCCTTGGCCTGTCAAAGTTCAGCTTTAATACACAGCTGAATCTCTATGATATATTCTTGCGGCCCACAAGACTAAAATCCCCCAGTGAGGGACTGGGGTGTGGCTCAGTGGTAGATGCTTGTCTAGTACTGAAGGGGCACTTTAGTATCTTTAGCTCTTGGCCAGCTGTGGTGGCACAGGCCTGTCACCCAGTACTGAGAGTCACTACAACTTTGAAATCAGCCTGGTTTGACAGGTCCACCTCTTGAGGGACAGGGATGACTAAACCCTACCAATTGTCTAACCGAGGTGGATAACAAATAACCAATAATTAATCATGAGTCACCGGGCCCCGGGCTACATCTTCACTTGTATGAAGTCACTGGATTCGCATGCCAGCACAATGACATCAGCGTTATTACCACCCTCTTCATCTCCATTTTGCAGAGGGAGAGAGTAAAAAACAGAGGATCTAACTGCCACAGACTCCCCCACCCGGCCACAGAACCAGTGAATGCAAGCAGTTGGGTGGTCTGTCAGAGCTGACACTTCCAATGAGGCCACCAGGTGGTTTAAGATCACAACAAACCTTGATATGTGTGTGTGTGTGTGTGTGTGTGTGTGTGTGTGTGTGTGTGTGTGTGTGTGAGAGAGATGCCTATGAATCCAGTTCTTCAGAGGTACCCATGGAAGGATCAGGAGTTAAGGTCATCCTTGGCTATATAGAGAATTCCAGACTAGCCTGGGCTACATGAGACCCGCTCTCAGAAACAAAAACCAAGAGGTTGGGACGATGCCAAAGTGGATAAAAAGCTGACAGTGCAAGCATGGGAACGGAGTCTGGGTCCACAGTGTGTAACGTGTATACACACGACAGAGCCGAGGGAGGGTTGAGGGAGGTTTTTTATTATAGTTACGAGGAAGAGTACAGCCAGAGGCATCTGGAAGATTCCAGAGCAGAGAGAGAAGGAGACTGAGTATGGCCGGCAGATTGGGCCTGGCAGGGGGTGGGGGAGAATGAGAGGAAAGAAAGAGAGAGGCTACCAAGAGAATGCATAGCCGAAATAGGGTCTTAGGGCAATGAGAAGGTGGGGTAGGGAAGCCCATGAGCTGGAGAAGTTTAGGGAGGGGGCGGAGTGAGAAGAGCCACATTCGCTAAAACACACAGCACACACATAAAAGCCCGGCATGGCTGGACATAGTGGCGCATGCCTTTAATCCTAGCACTCGGGAGGCAGAGGCAGGCAGATCTCTGAGTTCGAGGCCAGCCTGGACTACAGAGTGAGTTCCAGGACAGCCACAGCTACACAGACAAAGTGTGTGTGTGTGTCTCTAATCTCTGTGCTGGGCTGGACAGGTGGGGCAGTTGTAGAAACAGGAGGATATTAGGGGACTAGCTGCCCAGTCAGCTCGCAAGCTCCAGAGTCAATAAAAGACCTTGTCTCCCGAAAAAGAAAAAGAAAAAAAAAATCTCTCAGGGCCAGTGGATGAAGGTGCCTGCCACCAAGCCTTTGCTCCCCCGGGGTACACATGGTAGGAGAGGGCTGATTGTTGCTGGTCGTCCTGAGACCTCCACAGGTGTGCCCTAGCATGTGTGTGTCCACACAGGCCTGCCCTCTGGTTCCGACCGGGCTCCGTTGCTTCCAAGTTGCGGCACAAAGGACCTAACTTCTGGTTGTGTTCTCCACAGAAAGATGGACCAGCCACAGGCCACCGCCCTTCAGCCCGCAGCGTTCAAAGCCCCGGCTGTGAATGCCTGTGGGAACAGCTCCAGCTACCGGTATTACAGTCATTTGGTTTTTTTTCAACTAGAGAAGTTTCCAGATGGGGGCAGAACCTTCCTGGCCCCGCCTGCCCGCCCCCTTTGTAAGCTTAGCGGGGAGGAATGCAGCGGGGCGGGGCGGCCCCTAGACGGTCATTGCCATTAATAGAGACCTGAAGCACCGCCTGCTAAAAATACCCGGCTGGACACCCATAAAAGCCCAGCCGGGGCTCCAGCTCGGCACTTCTCGGATCCTCCTGCGCCCTGTGCCTCTTGATCCTCAGCCCTGACCAGCACAGCCAAGAACATGACCGAGCGCCGCGTGCCCTTCTCGCTGCTGCGGAGCCCCAGCTGGGAACCATTCCGGGACTGGTACCCGGCCCACAGCCGCCTCTTCGATCAAGCCTTCGGGGTGCCTCGCTTGCCCGATGAGTGGTCGCAGTGGTTCAGCTCGGCGGGTTGGCCCGGCTACCTGCGCCCGCTGCCCGCCGCCACCGCCGAGGGCCCCGCTGCCGTGGCCCTGGCCGCGCCCCTGGCCGCTCCCCTGGCTGCGCCCCCCTTCACTCGTGCGCTCAACCGGCAGCTGAGCAGCGGCGTCTCGGAGATCCGGCAGACGGCCGATCGCTGGCGTGTGTCCCTGGACGTCAACCACTTCGCTCCGGAGGAGCTCACGGTCAAGACCAAGGAAGGCGTGGTGGAGATCACCGGTGAGTCTCTCTTGTCCCCCACAGGGGAAGAAGCTGGCGGGCCGAGCGCCGTGGTGGCTGTAGGATGGGGTGGGCGGCGGGGGATGGTGGTGGGGAGTTAAAATCAAGAGATGGGAGCCTGGAAAGTTAGGAATGAGCTAAAGACCAGCAGGCCAGCGTCGTTCTCCCTAGCCAGCTTCCCTTGCTCCGGAGCCCAGGGCGCAGGTTGCTCCTAAGAGCCCTGTCATCCTGGATGACAAGGACTAACAGGGGCGATGCCTTGCCTGGCCAACGAGAGGCCCTGGGTTCTACCCGCAGCACAGAAACAAAAAGAAAGAAGACGCAACGCACCTCCTGGAAGACCCCATTCCCAAATAAGGAAGTCCTGGGACTCCTGCCAGGGCCCCTAATCCCAGCAGCGGAGGGGGCGTGCACACAGCTCTGAGTGCGCCTGCGCTGGTGTGCAGCCTGGGTCAGAGCCAAGCCCCGCGCCGCGGCCCCTCGCATCCCAAATCCCAGAAACGAACTTTCCGGAAAGTTTTAACATTCCAGACAGTCAGGTGTCTCACCGCACTCTGATTTGTGTGCTGTCTTAGAGCCGCTCCTTTAGCAGGTGATAGGGCCTGCTAGGACTGCAGAGGGTTGCCTCTGACCTCCTTCTGTCCCCACCCACAGGCAAGCACGAAGAAAGGCAGGATGAACATGGCTACATCTCTCGGTGCTTTACCCGGAAATACACGTGAGTTCTGATGCCTTACATGGAGCGGTGGGGGAAAGCGGATCCAGGGAGGTGAGCAGAGGGCGGAGGATCTGGAGGGATGTGTAACCCTTATCCTGTTTTCCTTTGTGTCCAGGCTGCCTCCCGGTGTGGACCCCACCCTGGTGTCCTCTTCCCTATCCCCTGAGGGCACACTTACTGTGGAGGCTCCGCTGCCCAAAGCAGCCACACAATCAGCGGAGATCACCATTCCGGTCACTTTCGAGGCCCGCGCCCAAATCGGGGGCTCCGAAGCTGGGAAGTCGGAACAGTCTGCAGCCAAGTAGAAGCCATCGGCCTGCTGCCCATCCCCAATAGTCCGCACTGGCCACCCCTCTCTGTCAATCTGTTTGCTCTTTTGATACATGTACTTTCTGTTTTTCTCAAATAAAAGTTGGAAGCTACTGCTTGCCACAGTCTCAGACCCCGGTGTTGACGGCGGGCTCTAAATTGATGAGCTCTAAATGAGCGCTCTAAATGATGAGCGCTCTAAATTGAAGCGTCCTTTGGTGTCTTTGCGATGGGCTCAGCCCTTTCCTGGGTCCAGCCTAACATTTCCCTAGGAAGAGGAGGGAAAAAAATGGTAATCTGGAGATTACAATTTTACCAGGGTGGGGCTGGGAATGATGGCTCATGACTGTAGTTCCAGCACCCAGAAGCTGATGCAGGAGCGTGGTAAAGTTGAGGCCAGCTTGGGCTACAGAGTGAGTTCCAGGAGTGCCTGGGCCACATACTTGCTGTCTCCAAAGCAAAACAAAACAGAAACAGGAGCTGGGGATGTAGTTCCGTAGAGTGACACGCATGAAGCACAGAGTTTGATCCCCCACATCAAGTAAACTGGGCATGGTGGTGCACACCTGTGAGTCCCCCACTCTGGAAGTGGAGGAAGGAGGATCAGAAGTTCAAGGTTATCCTTGACAACATAGCCAGTTTGAGGCTAGCCTGGGACACATGAAAACTATGTCTCAAAAGTAAAATAACAGGGAGCTGGAGAGATGGCTCAAAGGTTAAGAGCAGTGGCTGCTCTTCCAGAGGACCCAGGTTCAATTCCCATCAATTCCCAGCACCCACATGGCATCTCACAACTGTCTATAACTCCAGTTCCAGGAGACCCGGAACCCTCACAGAGACATACATGCAGGCAAAACACAAATGCTCGCAAAATAAAAAACCAAAAATTTTAAAAGTAAAACAATAAGGAGCCAGGCAGACCTACCACAGGAAACTCCTCTTCCCCCAAATTCTGGCACCATACCCCTTTATTAAAGGAGTAATTTCCTTTATTAGCATATCAAAGTGCACGCTAGCCTCCAGTCTCCCTCACTATGACAAGTACCTGTGGCTCTTCTCAGCTCTTCTTATCCCGCCCCTCCCTAAACTTCTCCAGCTCATGGACCCCCCTCCCCCAGCTTCTCATTGCCCTGTGACCCCCCCCTGTCTCTCTCTGTCTCTCTCTGTCTCTCTCTGTCTCTCTCTCCCTGCCCCCTCCTCTCACGGTCTACTGGCCATTTTCAATCTATTACTTTCCCTCTCTGCTCTAGACTCTTCCACTTGCCTGGGCTTACTCTCCCTCATACCTACAACAAAAAACCTTCCCATGAGTCATACCATTACACCTTGAATCGGTCATGCCCACACACACACACACACACACACACACTATCTGGTGCCGAAATCCTTAGTTTATACACCGGTTCACAGCTATGATCTTAGTACCTAGGAGGCATAGGCAGGAGCATCAGGAGTTCAAAGTCAGCCTCCGCGATCGAGCAAGTTCAAAACCAGCCTGTTTGTCAGAGGCTCTGTCAATACAGAAACAACAGAATAAACAAATAAAAATTAAAAATACCATTGAAAGCAACACTCTCCAAGGGCCAAGTGTAGAGGAGGAGAGTCAGAGAGAAGGTACAGGAGGTGTGGCAGTTCCAGGCAGCTTCCTGAGGTGTTGGCGTAGTCAACCCCACCCCTGTGCAGATGCCTGCAGAACAGAACCCAGGCTGTCAGTTCTGTGCAGAGAACGTGGATTGTGTTTGACGTTTTGGTCATGATTGACCGTGATCCTGGCATCCGCTTGCTCGGGAGAGCTTGACTTGACTAGCCCAGATCAAAGCAATTACACAGGATTTAGCTCCCCGCCCCCCCTTTTTTTTTGCTTGGCTTTATTCATCCATCATCCTCCAGGAGGCCCAGGGAGAGATTTGAGGGACCCTAGGGGGATTTGGAGCCCAATGCCACACAATCTAAGGAACAGGGACTGGAGGGTTGCTCATGGTCTGCTCTTTCAGAGGATCTGAGTTCAGTTCTCAGCACCCACTTCCCGTGGCTCACAACCTCCTGTAGCTCCAGCTCTGGGAAATATATGCCTCTGGTCTCTGAAGGCATCCACACACTTATGCACATGTACACATATGCATGGAATTTTTAAAAAACCTTTAAAAAAAAAGAAGGAGGAGGAAGAAGAAGAATTCCAGAGACGCAGTCAGGTGTGGTGGTACAGGTCTATAATTCTAGCACTCAGGAGTCAGAGGCAAGAGGATGTAATACTCCAGACTAGTCTGAGCTACATGATAAGACCTGTCTCAAAAAAAGCCAAACTTGCTGCCAAACCTGATGACCTGAATTCAGTCCTCTAAATCCCACATAGTAGAAGAGAACCTACTCCCAAAAACTGTCCTCTGACCTTCACATGCCCACCATGGCACACTCACACTCATGTCCACGCATACACAAGCATTCAAAGTAAGTAAACAAACAATAAGAAGGAAAAAGCCAGACTAGGTTTAGTATGTAGGTCGGTGGCTGAGTGTTTGCCCTGGGTTCCACCCTCAGCACCACATCAATTGGGTGTGACGGTGCGTGTCTGTAATCAGCACCGCCAGCCCAGGTATTAGGTTCAGGAGTTCAACGCCAGCCTCAGCTACAAATCAAGTTAGAGGTCATCTTGAGCTATATAAAACTGTCTCAAAAAATAATAAATAAATAAATAAATAAATAAATAAATAAATAAATAAATAAATAAATAGACAAGAGCTGTGTGTGATGGTGCATGCCTGTAATCCTAGTGCGTAGAAGCCAAAGACAGGAGGACCTTGAGTTCAAGGCTAGCCTGGGGAACACAGTGAGGCTCTTAGGAAGAATGAAGGGGTGGCGGCGGCGGCGGGGGGGGGGGGGGGGGGGGGGGGGATGGCTCAGCATGTGCAAGCATGAGGACCAGAGTTCAGATCTCCAGAATCCACACAGATGCCTGAGCCCACATGTAATCCCAGCCTTGGAAGGCGGAGATAGGGGACTTTCATGGCTAGTGCTGTCTGGCTTGGAAGACCAGCCACATCCAGGGCTCTGGGTTTGATTAAGCTATGTCTTAATGCTTAAGGTAGAAAAGCAATGGAGACTGATTCCCAGCCTCAATCTCGGGCCTCCCCGTATGCACACAACTACATGCATTCACAAAAACACATACAATCGCCCTCAAATGTGCAACACACACACACACACACACACACACACACACACACACACACACACACACACACACACGTTCCTTCCTAAACACACAGCCCTGCTTTCCCAGGGTCCATGGGAGGAGCAGGTTCCTGCAGAGATCCATCTGACACACCCTGTCCCCTGCTACCACCAACTCCCCAACTCTCTCAGCTTCTTGACATGTAAGCTCCTCGTCAGGCAGCCTCTGGATCGGAACACCTGGAGCAGGCACGAAGCCAGGGCAGGTTCTGGCAGAAGGAATCATTCTGGTCCCACTGGTAAGACTAGTCTGAGTCTGTCATTCAGAGCTCTGGCACACCTCACCACTTCTACCCACTGGCCGGGGCTGTTTAGTCCAGGTCCATCTCGAGATCTTAAGTGGCCTCACTTTGTGTGAGACATCTCCAGTCGTCTCCTGGTTGACTCCACAGGCCCATGGCAGAGCCTGGAGAAGCAGGCTGGCTGGGTCCCAGGCCGGATCTGTGGGCCAGCTGTCTTGTGGTTGGCACGAAGGATGTCCTGGCTTGCAGAGGTGTGACTCCATCCGAGATGGCTATGGCAAGGCTGCCCTGAGGTGCCCTTGGAGTGTCTCCTCCAGATTAACTCTGCAGCGAGGTACGGTCACTCCCACTTAACAACGGGGTACACAGAGAGAAACAACTTGGAACAGCAAGACTCAAAGAAGTGACAGACTTGCTGGAGGGGTGTGGCCAGAGACAGGAAGGCAGATTAGCCCAGGTTCAGAGGCAGAGGAACTTAAAAAGAACAGGCCCTGCAATATGAAATGCAATGTATACACACACACACACACACACACACACACACACACACATATATATATATATATATATTTATATATACTATCGGGGACTACGGAGGTCCAACTCCTCGATAGTTCCCTCCTAGGGTCCAGGAAGAATCTACAACCAGCTGATAATTAATCTTTGATGAAAAGAAATGAATCTATGCACACAAAACTCCTTAGTCCATACACTTTATTATTCTGTCACTTCTCTCTCTACAAGCTTATACTCTGCTCTCATTTTAAGCTCCTTTCTTGCCCAATTTCTCTTTACATTGATCTGTTGTCCCCTCTAGGTTCTATCTTAATTCCTTCATCTAGTTCTGCCCCTTCTAGGTTCTCATCCATCTAGTTCTTTCCCATATCAGCTCCTCTCCCATCTCCTTCTCTCTCATCTGGTTCTTCCCCATCTTGTTCTTCCCCATCTGGCTCTTCCTCATCTTCCATCTCGTTCCTCTAGTACTCTCTTCTAGCCCTTCAATCTAGTTCTTCCCCATCTCAGGTTGTTCCTCTCAAGTTCTTACCCATCTAGTTCTTCCATTCTCTTTTCTCTTCTCTGTCCTCCCGTGCCCTGGGAGTCCCGGTATATATACACTTACAAGCAGTATTCCCTTGGCAGTGCAAAACCAGGCTTCCAGGGTCAAACACAGGGGTGATAGGAGTCACATAGAGGGACAATAACCATTAATTATCATTTGCAACCCCAAAAGGAAGTGACTAATGGGGAAATGAATTAACTAAAGGCTAAATTTGGGTAATGTCTAAGAAGAGGGGTCTTATGTGCTCCACTATAGTCTTAAACGCGATTGGTAGAAAATGTTAAGAATTTGAGCCGGGCGCTGGTGGCGCACACCTTTAATCCCAGCACTGGGGAGGCAGAGGCAGGCGGATCTTTGTGAGTTCCAGGCCAGCCTGGTCTACAGAGCAAGATCCAGGAAAGGTGCAAAGCTACACAGAGAAACCCTGTCTCAAAAAACCGAAAAAGAAAGAAAATGTTAAGATTCTATAAGTTGCTAGGTCAATGGGAGAAAATAAAAATGTCTTCTTTTTTTCTGTGGCTCCTATCTGTCCAAGCTAGCTGCCGTTTTTCTGCAGGGTGGGGGAAAGTGTGCTCAGTCGC